CTAGGTGACCATTTAGAAGCGTTTGAAATCATCTGCGCCCTTCATGACTTTGATGCCAAAAGGCTGCAGATTAGTCTGAGTGTTTCAAGGCGCAGAGTGGGAGCAAAAACTTCCTGATAGTCGACACCACGAACTTGAGAGTAACCCATAGCAACAAGCCGAGCTTTCAACTTGAGGATTGACTTATCAGGGCGACGCTTGACTTTAAAGACCCACTTGGATTTGATGATCTTTCGTTTCGATGGCCGAGGAACCAGACGCCACGTTTCCATACCAAGGAGGGAGGAGAATTCCTCATCAGCAGCCTTTAGCCATTTTTCCTTGTGTGGGGACCTTTGGAGTTGACGCCATGTTTTGGGGGTGTCAACATCCTCGGACAAGACAAGTGCCGATTTAGCCCAGTTGCCGTAGCGTTCAGGAGCTTTGCGAACTCGCCCAGAGGACCTGATTGGTGGAGAAGAGGGGCGAGAGGCTGGAAGAGGAACAGACGAGGGGTCAGGAACAGTTGGCGGCGGCAAGTCAGAGATAGGCGGAGGGGATGGAGAGGGCATCGAGGGCGGGAGAGTCAGAGGGGGTGGGGTGTTCATGAGAGACGAAGTTGGAGGTCGCAGAAATGGAGAGGGGAGTGGGATAGGTGAAGGGAGACCATGGGACTTATTCGAATCATTGGAATCACTGGAAGTGGGGGAGATTGGAATGATGGGGGAGGGTTCACGGTGATGCCTGAAAGATGGTGGCATGGGAAGGCGTGGGTTGACGGGAGAAACAGGAGGTGGCAGAGTGTGAGGGGGGGAAATAACCGCAGAAGTTGGCCAGGGAAGCTCAACAAAGATGGTCGGAGTTGGACCGGTGAGTTGATAGTCATAGGGGAAGGTACCATCATCAAAGAGAGTATCGCGAGTTTTGATGGCTTTCTTTGTTTGTAGATCCCATACTCGAAACCCATTACCGTCCTTGAGATAAGACAGAAAGATGGCTGCATGAGCTTTAGGGTCAAGTTTCTTCTGAGTTGCATCCCGAACTTTGTGCCAGACCAGACACCCAAAGGGGTGCAGATTATTGAAATCCACAAGGGGGCGGCCTAGTATTGAGTTTGGTGAGTGGAAGCCAGACGGGGTGTTACATGGAATGGAGTTGAAATGGTGGAAGATGTGACGCATGGCATCCGTCCAAAAAATTTTTGGGAGTTTAGCAGTAATGAGAGACGACCGGATCAGATTTCCCACGGTACGATTTGTCCTTTCAGCAACACCGTTGAGGGCAGGGGAGTGAGGAGGACCGGGCTCATGATGAATACCCGAGGAGAGAAGGAAGGATTCAAAAGCTTTGGAGACGTATTCGCCACCATTGTCAGAACGTAGGGCGAGGATTTGAAATTTTCCATCTTTCTCGAAGAAAGCCTTAAAAATTTTGAAGCAGGAAAAAACTTCTGATTTGCATTTCATTGGAAAAATAGAAACGTATTTGGAACAATTGTCGATGAAAGTAACAAAATACTTGTAGTGTTCACGGGAAGCAATCTCAAAGGAACCAACATCGGAGTGAATTAGATGACCAGGTACTTGAGAGCGATAAGAGAAACGAGAAGTGAAAGAGAGGCGATGCATTTTGGATTGCACGCAGACAGGGCATCGAGTTACCTCAATGTCGTTGGCCATGGTAGGGATTATTCCGGACAGGCGGAGAAGGCGTTTGAGAGGTTTCAGACCTATGTGAGAGAGTCGAATGTGATAATCGAGGAGTGAGCATCCATGAGAGGTGGATGGAACAGAAATGGCGGATGAAGACCTTACCTCGCCTGAGGGAAGGTAGAAGAGATTCCCCTTGCGATAGCCGCGGCCCACAAGGGCACCAGCGGAGGAGAATGATTCTGCGTCGTAGATGTCGCAGGATTCAGCCGAAAAGACAGTAACCAGTCCTTTGTTGCACATACCGGCCACGGAAAGGAGAGGCTCGTGAAGACCAGGGACAACGAGGGCGGGAACGTCCTTGTCAGTGGCGAGGGGGAGAGGAAGGGTGCCGCGGAGGGTGGCAGAAACTGTGGAGCTGTCAGCAAGGCGGACGGTTGTGGAATCTGGACGAGATCGGGTGACACTGGATTCGTCGGGTGTCATTGAAATGGAACAGCCCGAATCAATGTTTGCGTCAACCGAGCCGGTTGAGTTTAAAGATCCAACGACGAAGTTGCCGACGACAGCATTCCCGGCACGCTCGGGGATGGAGAAATCAGAGCCATCGTCATACAAGTCGTATCCTAACTCAACGACAGTCACCTGACCGGCCGTTGCGGAAGGTAATAGCTGAAGAAGATGGTCGGGAGGAGCGTTGGTTCCA